ACTAAAAGGATGGGGTAAATAACACAACAATGTTTTTGTATCGCAAGATTGCATCTATCACGAGTTATCCGTTATAAAATACAAACAGCTAGAAGAGTCTGTTTACTAATGCAAAACTGAATGAGTATCTGAACGCAAACGAAATGGTCGAACTTTTATTACCGATCATAATAAAAACAAACTGTACTAATTCTCGAGTCAAATCATCAGTGATAATTCTGTAGAGCCACGCGGCGTAAAGTGTACCTCTGAAGATAATGTATATAAAATTCAATCACCAGAAAAAGACGAAACTTATTGTATGTCCCATTGTTGTACATACTCTAAAAGTTACAAATACCTTTGAAAAGGTCGTAACAACATCAAAGTTTCAGTATTGTCATTCGATACAATATTTGACTGAATATTACGAACTAGTAACACACGAAACGTATTTCCTCTTCTTTGAAAAAACGAAAACAAATTTTCTTGTAAAAAACAAAAAAAAAACGAAAAAAATGCGAAAGTCGTACATCTGCAAAACGCCTCGTATACATTTTGGAAAATGTTTTTCGAATCGATACGGAGGTATGCAATTTCGAAAAGAAAAAAAATACAAAAACTATCGAAGGAGGTTTAAAGTAACTTAAAAAAAAAAAAAACAAAAAAAAACAAGATTGCCATGAAGCAGATTTTTCAAGAACTGCATGTGCTGTGACAGTGGTTTATGCTGATGCCTTTAAAATAACAGAATACACCTTAGACCATTGTAATAAAGTCTACGAATAGTTGAATGAAGCCTGTTACGTTAACTATGCCAAATTGAGATCGTCCGTAAAAAATATTGCTAAACTATTAATAAACTTGAAATGTTGCGAGCCGAGATGATCTTAAACGATACCTTGAAAACAAGGATTGTTGCAACAGTCAGTGAGTCTTCATCGAAACTGTAAGAAGGTCAAAATGAAAATAGTGGTTGCTAGGTTAAACGTACTTTATTCGAGACAGCATAAAGAAACGTAAAGAAAGCTATAAGGATGTGCGAAGTGTAACAAAACAAAAAAAAATGGTGAATGTAAGTGTGACATTGAACACGTGTAAAATATTAAAAAAAAAAATAGTGTGATTGACTTATGACTTTATGGAGTGGTTATTTCTTCCAGCTGCGACAGATAATAGTTTAAGAGATTTAAGGAACAAAAAAAAAAAGAAAGAAAGAATCATAAACTGATTTTTTGCAAATGTTGCGCTCAAGGTCATAAACTGAATGGATACAGTGAGAAAGAGTGCGAATGTGTCGAAAAACGCTAAATTTTTACACAGACTCGCTTATTTAATGAATAATTAATTATTAATTATTGGTAATGATAATTATAATAAAAATACTTGCTTGTGATCATAAAGTATGATAGTGTGAATGCATGTAGTTCGTGTAGAAACTCTTCTACTAGCCGATGTCCAAATTTGTTTTTGAACTTCTATTTAAATTTGTCGGAATCATTAGCGGAATTGTGTTATCTTCTGAATTCAAACGAACGAGAATGTAACTAGTACAGTTTGCCGATTGGTATCGTTCTATGATAAGAAAAAGAAAAAAAAAAAGAAGGAAACTTATACGAGTAGAGAATCAAAAAAAGAAACAGACTTAGCATGATTCCTTTCGCGATGATTCTATTTGTTAACATAGGATGTAACATTCGTTAACATATTTTATTTTTCGATAGGCGAACAAAATAATGAAACAAAGATTAAATTTACATGGTAGTTTTCAATTCAAACACAAATCTCACGCATCTTTGAGCAAAGGTATAAATGAGAAAGTGTGTGAAAACTTATCGCCTTTGATGGTAACTAGAATAACAGATTACCGCAGATAAGTTTCGTATAAATGAATGAAAGTGTATTTGTCTATTTAGATTATTATTATTATTCTTAATGAGAAATTAATCGTTATTAACAAATTAAGATTGGCGATTTTTGTTATTGCTCTTTTTTTTCAAAAAATATCCAAATTATGTATCGAGAAGAAACGAGTGAACTCTGTTGATATTTTTTCTTTTCCTCCAGTAATAAGTAAATGGTACAGCTGGGGGTACAGCTTTCAGATGAGTAATTAAGATATTTAATGTGTAGAAAGGGAAAACATCGATGCATACCGGAATATATCTCGAAGAGAACGTCATTCCATGTCCTAAATAAAATATATTTTCAATAACGTGACTGAACATAATCACCATCTTCATTCGTGTTTGTATTTTAAAAACGATTAAGTACAACGGTTACTACAAATACTATAACATACGACATTATTATATAAAGTTCATTTTTACAGCAATTTTTTTTTTTACATTATTCATTTTACACAATGTGTTCTATCTGTATATGTATGATATACATACTTTTAAACTATAGTATTAAAAATTCCTTCGTAATTTATGAGCATTTCTCTAACTGTAGACGAGTATAACGATTAATTCATTTTTAATCGCAAGACCTTGTATTATATCACCCATGTGATAAGTAACGATGATTTTTATCTTTCTCGTGAGTGGATGACATTTCTTCGAGGTATCTTCACTCGATATGCAAACAAACTATTCAGAAGTCAGGTGCTCCATCGCCTTAAATTAATAGAATGCAGTGTCAGCCTGTGGTGCCATTGACTGGTTCAAATGGCCAATTACTAAGATTTTGCAGAGAGTAACACAGAGAAGGTCTTGAAGAAAATAGAACTATAAATTGTGTATTATAGCAAGTGTCGAGTGGCAGCTATGCTGAAACGATATCATATATTCGAAAATACACGATTTAAACGTTTTTCTTAACGAATATCAAGGGAAAAATATGAAAAAAAAAAAAATAAAAATATACACCTTAAACGTGCAAGGCGGTAACATATTATACATGTTTTTTTCTGAATTTGTAACAGCGAAATTAATAGTAATCGACAAATTCGGAAGCATATATTGTAACGAAATACCAATCCTTCTGTTTTCATTTCAAAAGCGTTTTAAACGTGAATAAAGAAACACGCTTATTTTGTTCAACGGCAGGCTATTTGCATTTATCTATGAACCCTTCGTAGCCTGTATTGTAACATAAAACGTACGTTTCTCGTAAAGGGCACAACAAATAAAATCCTAATTGGATGCATTGAATTTTGTCACATCGGTAATGAAACAAAAGCGCAACGTTCCTGCTCTATCGATCGGTTGATAACAGATTCGATCGAACTATTGAAATGTCGCTGATGTAAATTAATTTACAAACAAGAAACAGCAAAAAAAAAAGAAAAAAAGAAATCATTAACACAACATCGACACAAAAACAAATCCAACGCAACATATCGACAGCGACTGTACACGAGACAAATGCACGAAGGATTTTTCTAATTTCATCGTTAACCCTGGGTTGCTTTACGATCTCGGCGATACCGCCTATGTAATTCGCTTAAACCATTGCAGAGAACCGAGACAATTGTGCTTGTTATGTAATTATCGTAATCGTGACGAGTTATGTAAACGTTTTTGAAGGTCGGTTAAATTTTGTTCATTTCCGAAGCTGGATCTGGGAGTTCCTCATCCAGCTGACGAGATATTTCAGAAATGTTTACGTATATTCGTCAACGATCGCTCGGACTAAGGCCCGATTAATCGGCGTGTTGATAGTGTTCAAAAAGCGCAAAAAAATAAAAAAAAAAGTAAAAAAAAAAGCGAGAAACGAAGGGTAATAACAAGTTGAGAGAAAGAGAGAGAGAGAGAGAGAAAGTGTCCGACGATCTCAGTGTTAGCCTTGTATCACTGTACAATTTGTTATTCAATGTAAGACAGTTTTTCTGTGCTGTATATACATATATTAATAACTATTATTAATTAATTATTAACAATTACAATGAAGCTATTCGATTAACTATTATTGTACCGCTATTATTACTAAATAACAATTATACGGAGGAAAGCAGAAGCTATCGCGAGTGATTGTGCGTGTAAAAAGATGACAAAAAAGTACCAGAATATTTTGCGTGTATGATAAAGGCTGTGCTGCCCAGCTGAAAGCAAAACAAGCAGAAAAAAAAATGAACAACGGAGAGAATGTTGTTGCCAACGTTTTAGTATGTTGCCAAAGTTTTTCCCCTGTTTGTGGGTATTAAAAGAAAAACACATGCGCAGTGTAAAGTAATATTCGAGTTCCTTTTTATTTTTGCTTTTTGTCATGAAATTGACCGAACGTCAATTAAGTATTCCGTAAAAATGGAATTGATAGTGATTTTCGAAAATAAGTTTATTATTTATGTATATTTTCTTTAATTTTGTTTAGTTTTAATTGAAGTATCGTATTCGATTATCGATTAATGTCAGTAAGTAGATTTAACAAACATGAAATCAGCATTGTGATAACATGCGAACGATAACCGTTGTTTTCGATGAGTTAAAATGCATGAAAAATACCTTCGAATATTACTTGCATACTGTTACTCGCCGGTGATACGTATTCGGACGATAAATCGTTACAGCATACGTATGTTTCTAGCGCGGAGATGGCCAAAATTCTTATCTAGATAAAAGAAATAACGAATAAAAGATAAACAACTTTCGATGCGTTACTTGTTTAATAAAAGCTACAGTTTGAATTATAAGATTGAATTGTGTTTCGTGTTGGACGAATAAACGCTTATCCGTACAAGTGTTCAGTAGAATAAACGTTTACATCCATCGTTTGTTATTCGAATAAAATTCTGCCCATCTCTCTTGAAGCGTAAAAAAAAATAACGAGGAAACTATAAAGAGGAGAACACAGAAACCCCGATTTATTCTCAGGATGCGTAGACACAGCAGCCATCGTTTACTATTTTGTTACTAAATAATGCTGAGAACCTCAGATTCACGCAAAGCTATATATCATGGACCATGGATGTAAAGAATGATTGCCATGGGAATGTGTAAAAGAAGAAACGAGAGAGGGATGTTAAAGAGTAACAGAGCGTGTGCGAGAGGAGAGTGTGAAGAGAGTGCGAGGAACGCCGATTTTTGATGGTTCTTCAACAAGCGAAAAAGTGTAATGCCCTCCCCTTGAAATAATTGTAAAATGCCTCGAAAACGAGCGTATTGTGTCGCCATTTGGCCTTCATGCTGTTCTATCTGCGATTTCATACAAGCTTTGCGTACGATACTGTGATATAAGTCGCTCTATTTCTTCGTGTTTCTTTTTTTTTTTCCCTTTTCTTTCTTTCTTTGGAATTGCGTGAGTGTAGAGTGAGAGTGAGACACACAACACACATACACAACAAATAGTAGAAGTTCGAACGAGAAACTTTTCTGCGAGTGTCGAACTCCATCGTTGTAACGCGAGAAGCACCGAGATAAAATGCGAATTACCGTCTCCTACGTTTAATTTTTAAACGATTAAAACGCTAGTAACGCGGTGCGTTTGCTCGCTGCCGCAGAGGCTAAATATGTGAATTAAAAAAAAAAAAAAAAAAAATATGTAGAATTTCAACAGCAGGTGCGTCGAGAATACACGAAATACACGTAATAATAACGAGAATCATGAGAAAAATGAAACCGACCGATTTTCCATTTTCTTGCATGTTGTATCTAATTTTATATATGTATACTTGTTATAATGTTTTCTGTTGCTATTGCGAGTCGTTTTGTTTCTTGCAGAGCTTTCTTTCTTCCTTTTTGTACGTTCGGTGTCCTGTATAGTCGTGAAATCTCTTATCAGAGGAGGGTCAGAGGTGACGAATTTATTGTTGGTGTGCACGAACAAGTATTTGAAAAGAAAAATAATGTTAGAAAATTGGCCAATCGTTATTGTGCAAATGCTCGTTATTTAACTTTATTTTTTGATTTGAGCCAGTATTTTCCAAAGTAAGGATCGCGATTCTTAGAACAACGTTTTCAAAGGATCCATTTCTTGGAAGTAGCACTTTCACATTTAACTATCCTTTGATTAATCAATTGATTCCAAAGATTAAAAGAAAGACAGAAAAAGCATCGATAAAGCGTGCAACATTCCTTTGTATCATTTTTAAAGAAGGTACTCGTATCTTCCTCAACAATACGGAAAACGAATTTATACCTGAATTTGTCTCATACTTGCAGAAAATATTTTGTTCTTAACCGTTAACGAACTTTGCCAATTTTTATGTGTGTATTATATGTATGTGTGTATGTATGTATGCGGGGAAAATAGAAAATCTTAAGCAAGCAGCGTTATTAGGACAGAATACAGCATAGAAAGGGGGAGAAAGGTGCAGATGGTGATGCGAACGCGCATAAAAGATATGCGACAGGAAAATTACGTTTAAGCTGATAAGTATGCACGTTGCCATTTGTTATTGCTGGTTATTATTATTATTTTATTTGTCTTTCAGTTGGTGTTAAACATTTTTCTCTTTTTTTTTTTTTTTTTTTTTTGTTCGTTTATTCTGTTTAGTTTCTAAGATATACGCTGTACACCAGCCGTACACACATATATTGGCATTTCGTTCTTCACGTCTTTTTAATTGCAAAGCCGTATTAAAAGGCGTTTTGTGATCGACCATCGGCATTAATCGTCTCGTTTCTTTTTTTATTAATATCACTTATTATCATTATTATTATCGCTATTATTATTATTATTATTATTATTATTATTATTATTATTACTACTACTTGTATTGTTATTACTGGTTTTTTTTTCATCCGTGCAAATTATGTGCACCATTCGATCTCACCGGAACTGTGCGCTTGTCGAGTTCATGTTGCGGTACGTCTTGTTTCTTGTTTCATTCACGATGTAACACTATCTGCGTTTCTTTACATTGGTTGCGCCCACTATGCACTGAATGCAACTTCCTCGGTTCGTTGGCGGTATTATTATATTGTTAAAAAAGTAAAACAAAAAAAAAAAGAAGTTCGAGAACTTGTATTTATTGCACTGAGTACGACCAATGAGGGTATTAGAAGTATACACTGACGAGTGTTTCTCCTGCGATAAACAATTTTTTTTTAGCTACCTGCGTAACGATTAATTCACGGTAATTTTGTTGATTGTCAAATATTAGCATTAGAACAATGTTTCTATTATTTGTACAGCAAACGTTCATAGTGTATTTTCAAATTCGTGCATTTCGTCTGAAAATACTTGAATAACGGAAAACACCCTGCTCTCACCACCCCTTCCCTTGGAATCACAAATCATCCACGTGTATTTTATTTCACCGATTATCATCCCGGAGACGAGGAATGCCGAAATACAACGCAACCACAGATGATGCATCGTCTCGACAGAACTATTTTTATAGTTAGTAGAAATACGATTCTGCGGGTTGAGTATTGATTTTATAAACGCGAATAGCGTAGTTGGAATTACCGTGTTTCCTACGAGTTATCAGTTACGTCGGTCAAGCAATATATCAGTGTTGCTTCTTTGTTTTTGTAAAATAGAGACAATAAAGGATATCATTACAGAAAAAAAACAACCAAATTGGCCGAAGTAACTCTCATAAAACTGGGTAACATGTGTTTGAACTGTTTTTTAAAATATTTGTGTTTGTTACAGGAAAGCGAAGAGGAGCCGAAGAAAACAAAAAATGTCAATATAGGATTTATTTATTTTTTTATTTTTAAGTACCGCAAAGGGTTAATAAAAGATCGACATTTTTTTACAATATGCGTATGTTACGCAATTCAATAGAGTTACTGTTAAAACCGATATCGATAACTTTTGACTGATAAATGAAGCAGTTTCAAGTGGAGTAACAACATTGATAAGAACTCAATTTTCTTTATTAAGTTCCTTCTTCGTATTGGAAATAATGGTGCGTTGTTAATCAAAAGAATGATAGTATCGATCGAATTATCAGTATCACTTTGAATTGGAACCATAGATCATTATACTGAAAAGAGAAGAATGAAAAGAAAAGTAACGAAGTTTATGAAGGCAGATTATGTGAATCACAGAAAGGGGCTCAAATTTTAGTATCTAAAAGAAAACAATGAAAGATCAGTAATGAAATTTTTTCATCTGGTACTAACTCGAGAGATAAATACGACAATTTCGTAAAAGGAATTTTTTCTTAAAAAGGATATAGAAATAAGGACATACAAATCAATAGAAATTTCCGAATGTATTCAATCAAGAAATTTAAATTGTCTAATAATATCACCTTTAAAACAAGTGATATATTTGAGAGTATTTTTACAGAATTTTCTCCATTACACCATCATTGGTAAGAAAACTATACAATACCCATTATATCCATTATAGATAAGTCAAAAGACCTAAAAGATGTGTTTATATGTAAACTTTATCATATTAAAATTTGTTACACTATTCAAAATAATTTTAGTAGTTGAACATATATAACTTACTTGGAATTTAATTGATCACCTGGAATGTAGAATGGATTACACACAGCATTAGAATATGCAGCGTGCAATCTCTTAAAGGTCTGCAAAACAAAACATACTTTGTTATATTAGTAAATGGCATATTATTTCCAAAAGCATTACCATTTTCACATCATTGTCTCTCATTGATAGATTTGATGATTGCAGTACTATAATAAACTTGATTTTTGTATTGGTGGCATACCCATATCTAGAATTGAAAAACAAAACTATTCATATTATTTCTTAATAACAAAATATAATAGTATATGTTTAGCATACATTTTATATTCTTCTGTAGCATATAACAACCCTAAATACAAATCACGTATATCAATTGCTGTTTTATTTCCAACATTCAACTTCTCTTCTATAATATCTATTGATGTGTGGACCTTGCAATGAAATTGTAATGCCATGGATTCATCTGCACATTTAATATATTTTGGAGAATTCTGAGAATAAATGTTTCATTTGTTAAACAATTTTGGACTATTACATTTTGGGCTATTGTGATTACAATCCACAATGCAAATGTTATTCGTTGAACTAACCTCAAAACGGTGGAAAATGTATTATACTTACATCTTTACCGATTACAGCAACGCAAACTGCCATGATTATAGATCCTATACTGTTGCACTATTAGAATCCATAACAATTTCTAACAGATGAATTAAATAATCTCGATTTACTTAAAAACTATCGGATTTATAAATACTCTTTGGACATACAGGTTGTAATGTCACTTTTGACAACCATACTGATAAAGTAATCAATGCAAACCTAAGATTTGATTTTACTATAAAAATATACATTTATTTATAGGAATGGTACATATACAAAAATATTTAACGATATTATTATATATCGAATACAGATTAATCAACATTGATAAAAATATTGATTTTTGTGACTATAAACCAGATATAAGAAACATACTTTAGGAAGTACTTTAATTTTAAACAATAAACGTAAGATAAATCTTTTTTCTACGTGTAAAAGTACATATAAAGCAATATAAAGCGTAGTTCATTGTACAGTTATTTAGGTATTATTGTTGTATCTTTTTTTTAACGTTCTATATTTACGTAACATATACAATGCTTCCAGTTCTTTAATGACAAAATTACCACGAGCCAACATTTGATCAATCTTCTCAGGATCACGTTCTTCTTTATTCTTTTCAAAAGCTTTCTTCAAATTACGTCTGAAAAAGTCATAACCTCCTGGATAGTCTCGACCCATGTACAAGAGCTAGAAGCATCAGATGATAATACAAAATATAAAGTTTGAATTCACAATAATAGAATAAATTAATGGTTTTATTTTTCGAAACATAACGCGATCAATGAGTCACTTCAAAACAATATGTCTATGTCACAGTGAATAACACCACATCACAAACTGAAGTAAATTTGCAATAATTCATTACCGTCTTGTACAAATTAACAACTTTAGAGCGTTGGGACATTGATCAGATCAATTTTATAATGTCGATTGATGTTTATATAAACAACGTCAGTGTCGAACGTATTAAAGTTATTTTACCAGATAACATATTATGTTACCAACATAAAATTCGGGTACATTGAGGGAACGATTTCAATTGTGTTTTTTTTTATTGTTCGCTACTAATACATAATAATTAGATAAAGTTAAATGCAATCTCGTTACTTTTGGCATATTTGCAGTCCACGTGGTGGACGTTATCAACCAATCGCATGATAAGTCTCCTTCTCTACAAGTTGAATTGTCTAAAATATTTCTGTATTTCTGCAACAAAATTGTCATTTAGAGTTATATGAACCTGACGATCTATTTATACAGATCATTATTGATTGTTTGAAGACTTGAGATCATTTTCAGAAACAAAATAGAGATCACTCCATTTTACCCAATCAAAGGACGTTGCAGAAAATGGTGGCAACTTCGACTTTTGATAATAAAACTTAATGTTTTTTCTTTCTATTTATTAATTCTATTAATTACTTATAGTTCTGACATAACCTGTATTTCCACTACATTGTACTCGATCTTTAGAAGCAACGTATTAATACGTCAATTTATTGAATGTTATCACGAGAACAATATTGTGTTAAAAATGATAAAAGGTAGATAGCATCGAACAAAATTTCTTTGCGACAGTAACCCGATTATCTGACTCCCATTTGTAGATCTCTGATAGAGATTTAATTATTTTACTTCCGTTTGTTTTATCAATTAATTAAAAAAGACAATTGTAAAAGAAGTAAAAGATAGGAGGACAAAGATAAATAATACACTTCTACACATTTTTTTTAATAAGACAAAACATTATTATTCTTCGTAATCTTAGGAAATATATTCGGAAGACTATATTAGGATATATTAGGAAGACTTTCTAATTCATTCTATGTTGATAGACAACAAATTGGATGATCAATTTAAATGACTAGTACTACATAATTATCGTGGTAAGCGCATATTTATCGAGTGACTAACGTCACTATCAAGTCAAAAAACATTGTTGCACTTTACCCAGTGATGTAACAAAAGACGTTTAACATAAAAAGACAGCCATAAAATCAGTTAATTTCTAGTTACTATTTCAGCTACACATCGTCGCGAATCAATGGCTGCACATTGGTTTTATTTGTTATTAAATAAAATTTTGCCCACTTCTGTACCCTACCATAAACTTTAGTATACGAGCCCCAGAATTGGTGATTACGATACTGAATTCCTCCCATCCTAGCATGCGATGTTCTTATCTGATGACGATAGTATATATAACGTGCATTTGTTGAGAGCCAGTCGCTTTGTGATTCATGTTATTCCGTCGGGCTTTGTTTGTGTTTACGTTTGATACTTCGACTTGGAAGTGATAGGAATGTGAAAAATTGTTCAATAGAAACATTTCACCGTTGGGGGATATTCCTTTCAACGTTCGACATTTGAGTCTTTTAGACTCAATCTTTGAAAACCTAAAACAGCTGAAAAAGCTGTGGTCTAAATAAGGTAGTCACGGTAAGTACATAGAAAGTGTCTAATGTTCCTTCCAATTAAGTTTCCTTCTTTGTATGTTTGCAAATAATCTTCTCAGTTAGCATTTCAAACCTTTTTCATTGTGTTCCATGCATGTTACCCAGTGCTATAATTCAATGTATTACTATTTCCAATTCATCAATCAATGACACCAGTTAACTAGGGTCATAATGTTATCAAAGACATAAGGAGTAAGTGTCTAAGCTAACATTCAATGCTGGTATTGTTTATGTTACAGAAACATAAGGATGTATATTTTTACGAGCACTTTTGCTTTAATAGCATTAGGTATGATCACATTCCTTAATATATTTTTTATGATAAATAAGTTTTTGCATTTTAACAGATATCCATATTGAGAAACAAAATTAGTTTTACTTGTAGAGATATGCACTAATATTTTTATGACCTCAGTCATAAATCTTTAAAGTTATAATAGATATCTGTAATAGGAGACAAAATTGCTGTTTTACTTGCAGAGATAATATTAATATATGCATTTTTATGACTTGTGCTTTTTTTAGGTCTCTCTTGCATTGAGGCTGTACAGTCTCCAACTTTTAGCAATGCTTATACAGTTAAAGGAACTTTATATATCCCATATGCTGAAATTCGTGAACCATTCTATGCATGGTTTGATGGTGCAAGTGGATCCAGCAGAATTGATTACTATGGAGGTAATTTAAATTGATCTTTTCTTTTTTTAAATGCTTATATTTCTGGATAAAAAGTTAAATTACATTTTACTTAAATAGGAATGGTGAAGACTTTCCAATTATCTCATAAGGGAAAATATGGAAGCAGTATAAAGCTTGCTCCAATCACCACAGAGTCTATTACCAATCAAGAAACATGTCTGCAAGTAAATGGCACTAGTGAAATGAAGATTGATACTCAGGCCATTGTTCCAGACACAACTGGAATGGAGGTGAAAGAGCATTTCCACATTTTCCTGTTATAAAGATCACCCTTTATATTTCTAATTGAATTTTACTATAGAGTTTGTTAACATTTATTTAGTGCATTGGAGAGGAAATAGTCAATGGACAACTGTGTGAAAAGTGGAGGCTGGAGCAAGAGATTAATGGAAAAGTAAACAAGTATACTCTTTGGATAAGATACAAGGTAAAGATTATTAAATTTCGTCTATCTGAATCTGCGTCTAATATAAGCATGTCTTTAATCATTTTACAATTAATTATAGAAATCTCCACGTGTACCTATGCTGAAAGAAGCAATTCCCGTGAAATACGAAATGAGAGGATTTAACAGTCTTTTGGGTTCTCACTACGATCATTACTACTTGAATTACGATTGGTACTCTTCCGAGACACCCAGTTCCGATGTTTTCGAAATTGGAGAAAGTACATACGATTTATTATATTCCTTAATGTAAAATTGATGTGGACATTTACTCATTATAAAACATGCATTTAAATAGACTTGACATGCGGCAGTTTCCCTGGCCCCGGAGACAGGCACGTATACACGTTCAATCCTATGCGTGAATTCATTCACAATTACGATGCGCATGTAGACGATGCCTTTGATACTTTCAAGAAGACTCACAATAAGGAATATACGAATGAGATAGAGCATTCGAAGCGTAAAGAAGTATTCAGACAAAATTTAAGGTATGCGTTAAATTCGCGTATAATTTCGATTTCTCGATTAATGTTATACTAAATATTTACAGATTTATTCATTCAACCAATCGAGCTAACAAGGGTTATCAATTAGATGTCAATCATTTGGTGGATCGTACCGACTTAGAATTAAAGGCCTTACGCGGTAAACAATACACTAAAGGTTACAATGGTGGACAAGCTTTCCCTTATGATGTCGATAAACTACAGGCAGATATTCCAGACTCTTTAGATTGGAGACTCTTTGGTGCTGTTACCCCTGTTAAAGGTTTGCGATAAAGTTGATTTACAGATGGTAACGACAACGATTATTGCAAACTAATAAGAAATTCTTTGAACTATATAGATCAATCCGTGTGTGGATCCTGTTGGAGTTTTGGAACGACTGGCTCCGTCGAAGGTGCATATTACATGAAATATGGTAAACAAGTGCGTTTATCTCAACAGGTAAGACATTGAATTGTAATAAATATTTTATACAAATTCGATGTACTTTATTACTTTATCGTGCAATTATAGGCTCTCGTCGATTGCTCGTGGGGTTTCGGAAATAATGGCTGTGATGGCGGTGAGGATTACCGTGCATACAAGTGGATCATGAAACATGGTGGTCTGCCCACTGAAGACGATTATGGCAATTACCTTGGACAAGTAAGTGATTCATAAATTACCATGAAAGGTTTGTTGACATGATTAATTGAGACATAAATGAGTTTTTATATGTTTCTTCATAGGATGGTTATTGTCATATAAACAACGTGACAAAGACGGCCAAAATCACGGGCTTTGTGAACGTTACGCCAAACAATCCTAAAGCCTTGAAGTATGCCATTGCAAACCATGGACCAGTTTCTGTTGCAATCGACGCTTCTCATAAAACATTTTCTTTCTATTCTCACGGAGTATATTACGATTCAGCTTGTGGTGAGCACACGCAACGCCTTTCTTTATTATTGCTGCTAATAAACTTTCTATTAAGGCAAATAATATTTTGTAAACAGGCAATACAGAGGAATCTTTGGATCATGCCGTGTTGGCTGTCGGTTACGGTAAACTTGATGGAAAGGATTATTGGTTAGTTAAAAATTCATGGTCCAACTACTGGGGTAACGATGGATACATCCTTATGTCGCAAGAAAAGAATAATTGCGGAGTGATGACAGCTCCAACATACGTTACTATGTGAGAAAGAACTAATTAATACGGTTGTATATTTTCTTTTTAATGTTTAATGCCTAGTTGTATCAAAATATGCCACAGAACATAAAAAAAATATAAATAAAATAATTTTTTAAATAAACAGTGTGTGTTAAGTGTAAACATAATAATACGCGAAAAGTGTGATTTCTGTTTGTTTGGAATGTGCACAAATCTGCGTTGTTTAAACATAAACAAAATGGTTTTTATTGAAAATCCGTAGCAGCTGAAAGCAAGTTTTCTTGTATTACCAAGAACATTCTTACAACAAAGAACGCACAGATACGATATTTTTTTTATATAGAAATTCAGTAGACTATTAAGAACGAATTACGTAATAGTAAAAATTTGCTAGTTCGCAAAGCAATGCCGTTTACTCGGTACAAAAAGCATAAACAAATATGAACACCTACGCAAATAAACAATGTCACGTTTTTATCTTAACATAGAGTAGCGTTGCTATGAAGTGGAAAGTTTCTAACGTGGATATCGATCTATTGCGTATCGTGCTGGAAAGCTTGATATTAGAATCATAATAACAGTTACTTACAAAAATATATGTAATTTCAATAGGCACAGTTCACGTAATACAATTCCTTCAATTATTATCAAATTAATACAGACACTAAAAATAGGATTCACATCACTGTGCGTTTAATATAACCTTGAACATACAAAGGAATGTTGCGAGAAACGAAAACGAACGTGCTCAAAATAAAATAATAACACTCGATTCGTGTGATAATGATATTACAACTTTTCTTCTATATCCATCAACTTATTTTAATACACATACTCACAGTATCACGTCTAATCATCAATACATCGATGTAACTGAAAGGTACATACGAAAAAATGAATTTCTCTCGAACATATACATTATGCACAGAAGATTCGGGTTGTATTTTGCTAAAAGAAAAATTGCTAATTTCAATTAGTTCTATTAATAATAATTTCACAGCTTGTGCAGATTTTTGTACTATTGAGGTTAACGTGTAATTTTATAAATCCATAGCCGACAATTTTGTTTTGCACAATTGCACTGTTTTGTTGCAATTTTGAAATTAAGAACAAATATAAGTGGGCATATGAATAAATCGAAAACTTCAACGAAATAATATGGATTCAGAAGAAAACCGCTTATGAAAGAAACAAAATCGATCATGTTGAATATATGATTTGCACAATATATCCTTATATTTTTATCATCTTCTGCAAATGTTCTCTTAACGAATACACGATACATTTTAAAAACTTATATAAAGTGATTTTACAGTTATTCAACGTTAACTTTGGTTATCATTCGCTAATCTTATTCCCGTTATTAATTAAAATTTTAAGTATACAACCTACTCCCTGTACACTTTGAAAATATTATTTACGCGTCCATAATACTCTTGTAAAATTATAAATTTTAATGACACGATCTATAAATTACTATCCCCGTTAAGATAATTCGAAATAGTTGGAAATTCGGAAGAAGTCTTTAACCACATCATGATATGAACGATTCAAAAATATATATACCTAAGTATCTTTAGTAGTATGCGATACGTGCGAACAAATGAAATGTTAAGAATGCATAGTATTTCAGTCGTATATCCCTATAATATAACTAATCAAAACGTGACTATAATTCTCATCAACTATGCATTAGAAAGTATCTGCTTTAACCATGCTTTATTACGTTTACTGGGATCGCGTTGCAATTAAATAATTGGATTAAACTGTATCACAATATTCATATAAAACTTTCTTAAAAGATTTCGACATACACGTCAATCAAAACATTTTACTAACAAAGTTACACATACTACCTCATTGCTCTAATCTTTTTCAACCACTTTTACAGGGTGAGGTACTTGAGATAAGCCGCCTGAAATAACTTGTTCGCTTTGACGATAGATACGAATGCTTCAGATAAATCTTGCTCCAAATTTTACCAATTAGAAGCCTACTTGTAGGCTTTTTAATTTCAGTGTCTACCTACGGAAATCTATTAACTTTGTCGTTATCTCACCCTGCACATTCCCTATATTGTTTGTAAAGCAGGAAATGCAATAATGCGTTTAAGTACACAGAAACGATACGCACAGTTTCCAACGAATGTTCGTGTCGAATGTACAGCCGAAAGCGTGCGGGAATGACTTGGAAATCTTCGTTATTCTATATAAATCTTTAATTCTTAAATTTCTTTCACTCGTTTCTTTTACTTTCATCGTATATCACTTGTGAACCCTGCTCCAATAAGTTGTGTATCGCGATGTCAGAGGAACAGCCGATCCTCGACTCGCGTATTACGATAAATAGTAGGAATGTTGAAATGTTCACTCAATGGTAGCATCCGTTTACTCTCGGACAGAGTAAAGAATATAGAAATAGAAGTATTTCGATTAAGTCTCCACGTAATTAAAGTGTCCTTCGTTTGAACGTATTCTTTAAATTGTCTCTCCCTCCGCCTTCAAAATTTATTTCGATTAAAGAAATCCCATTTCTAAGGCGTTATACAACGACTGCGTGTCCGAATGACTGTTTACTCTCCAGAATGGGAAATTGTGGGCGCGTGCCGCTGTTTCTTCATCGGAATCATCTCCTATAACCACGTAGGTGCATCTCCGACCAAACCGTGCGACCACTCTTCCAAAGCAGCTCTCCTTTCCTAAAAAACAATAAACGACAATCATCGTTTATACGATATGTGAGCTAGTATTAATTATCATGAAATAATCGTAAGTAGTAAAGTTACCGATTTTCGAGGCAGAATAAATATTCTCGATAGGAAATATTCCACCGATCCCGAAGAGTAGCACTTTCGACAGGGCTGGCACTAATTGAGTAGTGGTCACCAAGATATTGATACAATGGCTTCTTTTATTGATGAGACTCAAACATTTTACAGCGGATGTTAACCAGTTGTCGGTCAGTACTTCGATCTCTGAACGCAACTGTAGCCACTGTTCCTGTTTCGCCGCCCCAAGCAAACCACCGACGTTGTTTCGGTAATTGCTATAGATTTCTTTTATTTTACGATATCGAAAGGCCAGTTTCCGCATCCAATCGACACCGCCTCTGACCCCGGAAGCCAAACATATGCCATTGTTCGCAGATGCACATTGAAAGCCGTCGGTAGCGAAATTGTAGGAAGACAGGTCCTGCCCGTTGTCGTCTGATGATACGTCATCAATGTGCACTTGATCGCAATCCTTTAGAATAAAATTTCTGGTAATTCTCTTATGTTTCGTTGACTCATTTAGACATTTATTGTAAAAAGAGGGTGCACAATGTTAGCGTAGATATACGATGGCCAGTTTACCTCGACATCGTTGAAAAAGAAATGAGTATCAGCCAAATTGAATATCATTTCCTCCATCCTGTACGCCACTTGTGCCAGAAGGGTGGGATCCTTACGGTGCTTCGTTGCGAATAGTCCAGTAAGCAACGAGTGAAACACAACTATGGTTTCGTCAAGGTCCCAGATGAATATCCGGTCGGGACCGGCTTCTGTCGTGTCCGCAGAACCTATACTGTTTCCACTTCCGCTTTGGCGTCTTCCGCGTCTGCAAGGTTTCGCTGTCGCCCCTGAAATAAGTTTTATTCCATTCTTACTCATCCTCTCCGTATTTTACAATCTTCATATAAAAGGTTTTTCCAGGATTTTATTTTTCAAACTCCACAAATTCAAACAAAGAAAATTCTCTATATCACAATATGATAATAGCATACGAATTCCATAAATTGCATACAATTTTTGCATCCATCATTCCGCATAGATATATTCTTCACGTGCATAAAACTAAAGAAAAATGATCGTTAGAGATAAAACGGAATTCAACAAACACGCGTGAGACGAATCTCACGCGCCCGCTCACGTGATCAGCAAACAAGCATAATTGGATTAAAAAAAAAAGCGGGATAGGTTTAGCGTGTTATTTACAGCTTATCGCAACTTCAATGCCAAAATTTTTGCGAGCTAAATCGAATGGACGTTCAATTGCGTTTACATTGTAGCTTTGTGTTTCATTGTTCTGTTCGTTTATGTAGCGAATTTGTTTGACGATTTCTCAAGCACTAACGAATACATTCAAGGAGAACGTATTATCGACGGAAAAAAAGAAAAGAAAAAAAAAAGAAATGAAGATATAAAATCACACGTACGAATCGTGTTACCTTCGATGTTTGCGGTTTCCCGTGCGGTAAGATCGCTGGCATCGTGAGTTGTTGCGTCCAACGTGAGCGCAGACTTTGTCGAATCTTTTTACAAAGAAGGAAGCCGTTACTGACAAATCATAATCGCAAATAAATCGTAATTATCGCGACGCACGCGCGCAGAACGATACTAGCACTTAAAATAAGGAACGAAAGCGTCGAATAAAATTTTTATAGAAAAAAAAAAATTTTGTTCAACACACGAGATACAAGACACGGGACAGTACACACACGGGACGGAAAGAGAATTTTCCAGACCAGCGATCGAGAACCATCAGGTTCAACGTTTCAGGCTCAAAGTAATCAAACGAGAAGGATAGAAAAAATAGAATTCGATCATTGACATGCGATTGAGAAATAAAGTTCGTTGTATTAGAAATTACTTATTAGAATTTGGAATTTTATAGAGTAGTACATCAGAAACAGAATACATCACGAGAAGAATCACTTTTGTAGAAAGTACAGATTTATATAAACGTTACCAGCGAAATTTAGGTTCCCAATGTTAAACGAGGCAGGCGACGCATGGTAGCCGTGCATGGGGTAATATCCGGAATACTGTAACGATACCCTGTCGTTTCCGTACAAACTGCTGCTGTAGGCGCTATAGTCCAGCTTCTAAACAGAAACAAAACAAACGAATGGTAATAAAAATGTAAAGAACCTTACATTAATATTACATCAATTAAACTCGTTGAAATGCCACGTTTTGTATTTTTAGTTTAACGAAAGAAGTCGTCCCAGAAGAGGTGTGAGAGTTCCCTGTCTAAGAGGCGCTTGGTTATCATACCAGGCAAGGTAGTAAATCACCTCGTAACGTTTCACGAGTACCTGTGATGAGGATGATATATTCTGGGCTACGTTGGGGAAGTTCGCAGTGCCGCTGTTGTAGGTAGCATAAGAGGAGTACTGAGTCATGGAGCTTGGCGCGGTGTACGAGGTCAAGTAAGAACTTTGCAAGCCCGAGCTGTTCTTCGCGGTGGCTGCTGCTCCGCAGGAAGGTGAATTATATAAACTGTTTAATAAAAAGTTGAGAAATCACTGCATAAGACAATGAAAATAAAAAAAATAATTTCTTTACAGGTAAGAAAAGAAATTTGAGCTGCGAAAGATTAAAGATGCCTTCGAGCAAGAGAGATACATGCCTGGTATAAAATGGACTGGGTCCGTACAATGAACTGTAGTCCTTCTCCATGGAATCCGGATACTCCTGCTCCTTTTCCTCCGCATTCTCGTCGATGTACAATTCCCCGCTGGGCACGCTGTCGTTCTCAGGGCAGTCTTGCACCTCGTTCTTGACTTCCGCCTCTGCCGGTATGATCAAAACGTTTCACGTTCACACGTTTTTAGTTACGATTCGTCGAATAATAAATCGAATACGTCTACCACCCTCCCAGAAGGACGATTGCAATTAAAAAATATTCCGTATGCGCCCCCGCCTAAGACTTGTACGTCCAAGCATAGTTTTCTCGGCGAATAGAAAGTCGAGGGGCACGAGGATATCTAATTTCATCTAGAATGTCGACGCGCAATTAATTTCCAGAACAATAAGCCTGTGCATTGCAGTTCCATCGAGTACTCCAGACAGAAGTTTCTCGTTTAATTCAATCGACTCATAGAGAGAGATCCGGAAAATACAGATGGGAAACCTTTCAAAGCATCGAATTTAAACTGTTTTATTGGAAGCTCTGGTTTCAGTTATTATTTCCAGCGGAACGCCGCGTTGCGCACTACTGTACAAACGTATTTTTCCAATTTTTGGATAAGAGATTCTTCCAGGTGACTAACGATTCCATGTTACATTGGAATCTTAAAATAAAATCATTAAATCCTTAAAGTTCCTTTTGGAAAACCCTTTATAGCGAGGAGAGGGCTAGTTATCGCGGCCATAGTTCTTCTGGTAGGGTAGTTTTGGGGAAAGGATAACTCTGGTCAGTGGCCCTTGGAGTTATAGTTATATTAACTTACACTTACTGTAACTGCGAAGTGGCAATCTTTTTTAATTGTGCAATGTTAATTTACAGGAGCTTTATTTACCATTGTTTGTGGCTCGAGGGTGTTGTACCGAGGCCTCTGTGGACGAAGACACGTTGCCAGCATTGTCTAAAACCCCTGCTGGTTTCGTCGGGTCATTGTCTTCGGTTAACATATCACTCCGTCTGAAACAAGAGAGCGCGAAACAACGATTTATCAGTCGTTCGAGGTGTCCGTTGGCGCTTGTTAACGCATTCGCTGACCATCAGACCTTCGCGACAATTTCTGCTTGGACTCCCGCAGGTGCTAATTCATTTCCGCTAGTATTTTCAATCATAATAAAGGGTTTTCCGAAAGGAGCTTTAGGATCCCGTTTCTTATGTCTCTGATGTGGAAGGCATTATATCACAAGTTACAGTACTTGCAATATAGTGCACTATAGTATCAAGTACTATATCTCATCTAAAAACCTTTGATTAACAAAATTACTTTTTAGTTTTCGCCAACTTTCTTGGTCCCCCACCGTGGATGCGAAGGGAAAGGGTTACCGTTGAGCGCCAGGTTCATTATTGTCTGCCAATTGCGTGTCGAAGAGGTGGAGTGACCAGATGGGTAGGCGTACACCAGGAACCTTCGAGAACAGCCAATGAAACCTCCTTTCACGACGTTTTACATTATGTATTCTTTATGTTGCCAAGTCACTATCTATCCGTGCTCCGCCCTTATCCACGCGTATACTCGCGTGCTCTGCACTATAGAGCGAAAAGGAAGCTGTTGCATAAAGGGATTTTCACAACGGAGACGCGGTAACGATACACCAACCGCGGGATTAGATTCCAATCTATTTATAACAGGTACGTCGAACACGGTTTCTCTCTCAACATTTTTCTATCTCTAAAGTTTTACAATACACGCATATCTTGGTATTAGCAAATCTCAAACTCGTCTAAAAAAGCCTGTATTAGTACAACGCAATCGAATACGTCCTCGCGACTGTGTAAACGTTCATAATAAATCCGTGCTTCACCGATAATTAAACAATATCGAAAGACAACTTCAATTACGATCGCGTAAATATGACGGGTCTAAATCGCGATCGTGATTAATTGCACCACCAATAATACGGGGGCGGCAATGTCCCCTGGCACGAGGTAAACATTTCCCGTCGGCGTCGGTTGTTTGGAGTTGAATAAATCATTGTCATCGTGGCGGAGAACGATCGTTTCGAGAAAAAGTCTTTATAGACTATCACGGTGACTATACACGATGTTCCTGTGTTGGTACCGAAGCGATTGTTCCCTGTGCGACGCGTTGGTAGGTGGAAGTTACGACGGTTACTGGAACACGACGACGAATCAATTAGCACCAGGATGTGTTTGAACAACACGCGCGTTCGATTTTTTCTTTCCTAACGGTGGCGATGGCCTAACAAAACGAAACCTGATGGAAAGAATTTGCATTACCACCGATCGCTTGTTTCTCGGGCCGTTTTGAATCAACTAGAAATGTACAGAAAGCAAAGGAAATGCAACATATCTTTTTTTGGGGAAAAACTGTCCACTGCTTTTATCTTAATTGTTGAACAAAATTGGAGATACCATGCGATATTAAACGATTGCGATGTGTCTCGCTTCTCTTTTATTTCAAGCGATACTGGAAAGCGTACAAGCAAAAGGACCAAGCAAAAGTATCCGAATCCGCGTGGAAATGTAATATGATGATCACTGAAACGTTATTTTTAACTTTCATGGATAACTGCTATTATACTTCGTTTCGAGATCTGAATTTTTCACGGGTTTCCGAGAGAAATTTTTCATCAAACGAGAAAAGAAATTCGGAGTTACATCTGTTTATTTTCACTCTCCGTTGATTTCATAGCAAGTATTGGCGAACGTTCCAAAACCACTGTCCTAGGATAAGGGTTCAAAAGATAACTTCTACGCTCAAATCTTGTGTTACGTTTATTTGAATTAATGTAAAATATTACTTATATTACTTTGCGCCCCTCGCCCTTCAAATGTACGATAAAAACAGTGGAAGGAAGCCCTCAGGGGCTGTAGCTATGTTTTATTTTTAATTGTAGCTACAGTACGGGTTTAGCAATCCTGAGGTACCCGAGCTATAGGTGACCCCATGGGCCCCAGCAGAGTACTATAATATCCCTAATGTAAAGTAACATAAAGCGAAAAATAATAAAGAATAAAGAATGTAAACAACGAACAAACGCAAGAGTGGTACATTAGTTTTTACAGTCAAGTTATATATAAATAAAAACTTATAAATAAAATTCGCTCGATTGTTCGAGGAACACAAAATACGAGGCGTTTCGCTTCGTGCCGTTGGCACGTCGTTCGAAATTACGTTATTATTTATTTTCCTCGAGGGAATAGGGGCCCCCGGTGAATAAAGGCGAAAGGCACTCGGCTTATCTAAACAAAGCGTGCGCCGAAGTGTTTATCGCAGGCAAGTTGCTTAGCTTGCTGCTGTCCGCCCGTCCATCAGCCGTCAAAGAAATGCAGCGAAACGAGAGGAATGCGTGGCTATATAGTTTCCCGTGCGCGACACTCGTGTCCCACGGAGTGCGGTCAGCTTACATTTGAAAGGCGGAAAAAGAAAAATAAGGAGAGGGATGGTTACACTCCATACTAAGACAAAAGGTTCACGTCCTGAAACGCCCTGGTGGCTTTCCTAACCGTCGCAACCATGGAAATCGCAAACACGACCCAAATCTTCCATTTTAAGGATCCTCGAATCGAATCCCTGCAAACGAATGGATTTTGGAAACTATTTTCTATCAGAAATCAGAAGATCTGGACCGCGTTGACTTAAAAGAAAATCGATAATCGTCTCCACGAATCGATTTGAAATCGAACATTCTAATCTGGTGCCACGTAGCGTCTTATGAAACCGGAATTACTTGACTTCTCGCCAGCGAGAAACATACGCGTTACTTAGTGCCACGCAGCGGTTGACCAATTAAAATACATTACTGGTAACGAGCCGAATGAGATGCATAAGTTACGCATGCTCAATTGATAATGACGTTTACACGTGTGTGCGACCGCGCGCGCGCGCCGGCACATCCGCGTACCGTCCGCGACTCCTGTAATCTAATAATTTAACCTTTCCTTCTAACGCGGAACAATTTAACGTTACTAATTTACCATTACTTATACATACGATACAATACGAACCAAATGCACAGAAACGGGTTTTCATTTTATGTAACGACTTTATTAATGACAAAAAGAAAATGAATTGTCCCATTATCTAATACGCGCGCAAATGCAAAGAAATATACATTTTTGCGAGTCTTGAATCAATTGGGGGGTAAAAAGGTTAAGGTATAAAACCGTGGGGTGCATCGTGCTTTCCACGTGGTAAACGATGACGAATTTCATTGGATTATCAGTCAGTCTTCTTCGATTGTCCCGCGACGCGAGAATTTAATTAACGCAAAAGCGAAGCGGTTGCAGTATCTGCGATCAATTTAATCTTCCATAAATGTTCCGTAATTTCTTCTTACAGTTAGCAGCGAATCACGTTGCGAATCCTCGTCGAATACAGTCATTCTCACAGTCACACGTTCACACGCAATTTCATGTATTTCCATTACCTAAGAAAGATGTCGTATTACGTCGTATTCATTCCAAACAGAACATGTCTTACATTGTTTCATAGTTAGCAACGCGACATAGATTGGCAAAATTTGTCATTTAGATATCAGATCTTGAATGAAAGATATACTTCCGATTCTTATTGTTTGTTCAATAAAAATAACAGTCTGATACAATCTGCAAATTCTGCCCATCTATGCGGACAAACAAACACGTTCATTCAAACCTTGTATCCGGTGTTTACGGCTGGACCAAGCGAGGGTGCTTCGATGAGAATATTCGTGGATCAAGGAAGCTGCAGTTGGTTCCCTCCCGATAGCATCGTCATCCCTCCTCGCGTCGCGTGTACGTGATTGAATGCGTGTACAGGGTGCACTTGAAGTTTAAGCACACTACCTCTCACTTTTCTCGCACTTTCCACGACCACGAGAACATCGTTGACACCCGACGGACGCACTGCACTCTCCCCGACAGTGTTAGTTCCTGATAACCAGAGAAAACTCTTATCTACCTGAAAACGCTGAAGAAAGGATGTACAATTCCTGATTTGTCACTCGTTGAATGCAGATTGGAATTTCACGATAAACTGCACAATCAACAGTTCACTTTGCGTTGATACGATTCAAGGAGATTCTGTGTTTGCCAACGCGCAGGAGGAAACAATTACAGAATTATACCGATCGACGAATCTCCATACGAGAAACCACTTGTCAGGCCGCGAAACTAGCAATGAGGCGGGCGAACTGACAAAGCTTGGACAACGATTTCCCGAGGATACATCTCCCGTTGCTCTGCACACGTCTCTCGGAGGGTGAAACGGTGGAAGCCGGGTGACGAGAGCGTACGAGTCGAACCGAATGGCAGACGATCTCTATGGGCAACGTTTTGTCTCGGTGCGCGTTTACCCGTCGAAGTTCTGTGACGGATTCTCTCCCACGGACACGGCCAGCACTATTGTTTCCCTGCGAAGGGTATCGGCTCGGTGTGCGATACGCTGCAGCCTGTGGAGTTCTGAGCATGCGAAATGTCGCCTGCCACCCCCGCCCGGTGATCACGTGGTTGGCCGGCTAGTATTCACATCCTTCTTCCTCGTTTGCTGCCCCATCTCCCTTCTTCGCTCTCTCTTCGTCCTGTAGTTGGTATTCCCCATAGTTGTCTCGCTTTTGTTCGTCGGACGCGCACAGGTCGCTCGTTAATTAGAACGAGAGGAGCTAACGGCGGCTCGCTCGGCCACTCGACTGTATCGGACAGAGATGGAACGCGATAAAGGACCGTGCAGTACTGTTCACTTGAACTGCCTTGCCTGTTTTTCCTATAAACTATAATAATCATGTGAATAATAATCATAGCATGTCCTTATCGTATCGAGATTGTATATACTAAGACATTCAGTAGTTATTATTAGCACTGTTCATTCGTTAACACAGGCGTTAAATTTGAAAACAGCTCAGGGTATATCTAGTAGTGTATCCACCTTATAACATAAAAATATCTCTCGTTTATCCGAAACGATATTATTTTTATCTGATGCTATTCGAATGAACAGCACTGTACAATGGCGACCGTGGAAGGGGCAGGCACCTCCTCGTTGGAATAATTGTCACCTTCTGTCACAGTTCGTTTTTATAGTTCTCAACCGACGAACCTTCGTGTTTTGTTTACTGCCAGCGACGGAATAGTAATTGAGGTCTATGGGCGATCTTGATAACCACTGCAGGAATGCATCTCTCGGGGTTAAGGAATTAGCGGCGGAACACGCGCGACCGGTGGTGGTCGGTCGTTTAACCTGTGAAGACGAGAACAGTTAACCCATTTTCTTACAAGTTTTCTAGGATATTATTTTTAGTCTTAACAAATGGATGGCATTGGCACCGTTTGCACGAAAAATGGATTGGATACTTTTAGGACAAACCGTGTATTTCGATTTCACGTCCTTTTTTCAGGCTCGGGACAGGTTCTCGAATATACGCGTTGGAAGATGTGATGCGACAACGATCGTCCCTTGTTGTTCTTTTTTCCATCGGGATCCAGCGCGGTGCGTGTCCCTTTTTCTTTTTCCCCCCTTTGTTTTATAATCGGAGATAGAGAATTCTTGACGGGAGGTCCGGTGGCCCTACGTCATACTCGCTGGCTTCTTGGAAGGAGACTGTTCCTGCTTCCTTTTTCGTCTCTTTATCGATTATGGTGTGATAAAAGTGGCGCGAGACGTTTGTCTGCCTGTCGTTCCGCGTTAACCCTCCGTTCCATTCGTTTTATTTTACCACGCATTTACATTCGCGTGTTCGTGTAATAACAACGAGGTTTTTTATTGCTGGGAATTTATTTCGTTGGAATTTCTAGGCAAAAACCTAGTCGAAACGTTTATAAGTAATTTTATGTATGAAACTGTAACATCGTCGTATATATTAGGATACTAAATTTTGTTTTATACTAACTTTTTACGACCACGATGATGTCAGCTTTATCTTCTTTCGAAGTACCCCGATGTGCCATGAATATTTTCACGGAGTGTAAGGTTGCGGGTGGCGAAAGAATACCCGCGAGTAGAAGCTCCTGTTTTTGACTATGATAATCAAGCTGGAGCGAGACAGGGGTAGCAACTTAATTTCGCACCGCTCGTACTTTCATCCGATGCGCATCTTATACGAACTAGAGGGATTCTCAAATTTCCACGAGAGTTTGGATAATGTTACCCGGAAATTTTTCTAAATGACAAAAGCTAAAACACGTAGAGTAATAACGAGGAGGGGAAATGTTCCAAAGCTCAATTCCAAACCTACTTATTTTTTAAATACCTCGTAAAAGGTTTGCCCATCGTCCTTTAGATCCTCTTCGACGTGAAACATATAATTAGGTTTCTAAATAAACAAAAAAAATAGAAGAATTACTATTCACGTAATATTTACATCATGCAGCCTGACACGCATTAAAATGCAAAAATAATATTCGCTGCATCTCGGTGCGGACATGAAGGGGTTAATGGCGAAGGAAGAACAAGTCGAGGCGCGAGATAAAGAGGAATGTGCTAGAATGCGAGACAGAGAAGAATGTGCAGAGGTTGCTGTATTATCTCGCTCTCATCCCTGATACGTAATATTTCTCGTATCAAAGTGCACGTGACGGTCAGCGCGATTATGTGAATGTATTTCCTCGTGACGATGGCCCGCGAAAGGAAGCGTTGAACGCGCCCTTCAAACTATCGTAAACACGAACAAATTCGCGACCAGAGATCATCTAGAAACAAATTTTGAGGCCTTCCAATGTCAAAAGGATCTTCGGCCCTGGTGTAGTACCTGCAAACGATCAACAGGAGCGATACAAAGCTATCTGCGGGGTCCAGAACAACAAAGGGGATTAGTATTTTTACATAACGACGGATGAATGCACAAGGGTCGAATAAGTACGCCTAATCTGTCCGCGGTCTTAGTTTCACGGTTGATTGGATAGGAGGAATTTTTCCAAATTCGGGGAAAATCTGTCTTGCTCCTCGAAGGCTGTTTGAGGAACTTGTTTTGTTCAAAATGTTTTCGTTTTACCTGCAACGGGGATGTGTAACAATATTAGATGAGAAACAATAATAACAACAAAGTAAATAATATATCGATATTACATAGAGCAAGTAGGACCTGTGTTCTTTTTTTCTGCAATTTGTTTTCAAATTGAATTTGCATCCCAGCAGTAATTCTATTCGATTCTTATTTAGATACCTCCCTTATCCGGATAATGGCGAACACGGCGACGTCGGTAATGATCGAAACGTGGTTTTCTGTAAAAAGAAGTTTACGGTAACCGCGTCACGGTGGCCCACGGGTATACAAATGCAATATACTTCATGGACTGTTACGTGAAATGGATGTCGTCGAGTTTCCCAAGAGTCTGTCGTTCGACGGAGATCGAAGGCAATAAAGAGAGGCACGTGAAGGAGACATGGCGTCGACATCCTGTGGGTTGGTCGAAGTAGTCGCTGGTGGAGAAAGAGGAGGCGAAATGGGGGTTAGTACCTTTATGATATAATGGCATGGAAGCTCACCATGAAGCTACAGCGAGTAGCAAAATTATTGGCACTAGCAACAATGCAAAAAAAAAGATCATTTAAAAAAATATTACGATCGATATTACGATGACACACGAATCATAAATCTATACATCTACATTAACTAATATTTAGTATAGTAACATATCAACTGACACGAAATTTATTAGCAGTGTTGTGTCGTAAATATACGCAATTATTTTTTGCGATTTATTTTGCATTCTTGCATTCGTCTCGTGCCAATAATTTTGCGACTCGTTGTATATACGCTCACGTAGGCAACCCTTGTATACAGATAAATACGACGGCGTGCGAGCTAGCATGACCCTCGAAGTATGCGGGAAGCTTGTGGTCTATCTCTGAGTAACATATAAATGGTGTGCTCCGCCATAGCTACGTACGCGCTCGACCACCCAAGGGTACATACATACATACATGGGCAGGAGCACTCTAGGAAAAGTGCATAAGCACGGGGCAGAGTATTTACTTTGCGGAGGGCCAGGTATGTACATACACCTTTTAATGCCGAAACGACTGACTTTTCCCGAGGAGTCGTCGGCCAGTAAGAAAGTTATTGTACGTACTAAAATACCAAAGAGTATTGAAATTCGAAAACGTTATGCTAAACTTGTCACGATTATTTCTTGGATTCGTGATTGTTACCTAGTTTGGAAGACAAAATAATAAATATTATAAGTTACTTAATCCGTGCCTTGCGATGTAAACAATCTCGCCATGATGTTCAAAGTTACATACGATCAAATTATATTGTACCGAAAAGATGTAAACTAAACAATTTATACTTACACTTGCATCCATATCCTCAAGCATAAACTTTGCGAATTGTTTCCGTAAATCTTCATCCTGCAGGTTTATACGTACTTTCTTTTTAAATAATACGAAATATTCATGTGCAGACATGCGTGTGCATGCGTATGCTCTTGTAGGACTTGTACGCTGATGCTATCTAGCGGTTTTTTTACCTACTTCGATAACTCCTTATTGCTGCCGAAATTGTAAGCATTGTAAACATCTAACTTATCTTAAATTCGATTATTCGATTGCTTTCAGCATCCTGCAGAAAAATTGTCATTCGTTGAACTCCGGAAAAAAGTGAAAGCGCTTTTCTTCTCCGTGGAAAGAGGCGGCCTTTGTTTTCCGTGGAACATCCCGAAGGTAAGATCCTGCTAAAATAAGTGCACACACGTGTAGAGATCCTGCGGGTGAGTTTATCCCCGGCTAAGTAAGCGACATATCTCTTTCTCTCTCTATTTCTTCTGTATATGTGTGTGTGGGGGTGGGGATCGCGTCCAAACACCACGAAGAAATACGTGTGAGTGGGTATGTGCAAACGTATGTCAGCTTATACGGGGTGTACAGTTTGCAATCGTAGACTTTACCGTCTCCAATGTGGCCAATTAGAAAGGCAAATTTTTTATGATTACGCGAGAAATTTTGCGATAAAATTTGCGAATGCAAATCGATCGTTTTCTCGAGGGATTACTATACCAAATACTAATACCAAAATCCGATTGTTAAAGAACAAGTAATACTTCTTGAAATAATTGTAATCGTACAATTTCTTTCATTTCAGGGTCCTGTCGTTTACTCGCAACGCCGATCTCCGAAGATACAAGGAATGAGTTTTAAACAACCTCCATCGTCGATTAACTTGCACGTTCGTAAATTACCAAGAAGATAGCAAGCTAATTCTCGAACACCCTGTGTGCATGTAACGCAGGCGCAGGCAGCTGTCACCTTACACCCATGGAGGAGCCATGGGCTGCGGCGGCCATTCTCAACTTATCTCTAGGATCTTTGTAAACATGTCGTGAAATCCGAGTATTCAAGCAGTGGCGTAGATCGCGAGGTGGAAGGACCCGTCGGAGCCTTCTCTGAGTAGGAATTAAAATCCCCGTCGGGTACATTTAGTGACTGCAACATTGGGTGCACATGGTTCCCTTGGCAACCAGAACCATGGTGGCAACGTCACTAAATGGAGCACATCTTTGTTCCGTGCTAATAAAAGGACTCCACAAGGTGCCACCATCTTTCTTCACCCTCTTCCTCGTCTCTTAGTCTTCCTGCTTAGGGCGCTCATCCTTCCACAACGCTTCCTCTTAGATACAAATATTCGCTATAATAAAGTAATTCGATAATAGTAATTTATTCAAAATTTTGTTTATACGTTATGCAAATGCTTGAAGAATTTACGCCTTTTGTTAATCGAAAATTGTTAAATGAAACGTGGTGATGGAATGATGGATTTAGTCGTTGATCGATCTATCGGGAATGATTCGATGAATTTGAATATATTTATTGTTACGTGACGATTCGAGACTGTTGAAGGCTTCGAGCTCAAGACTTGCCAGACAAGAACCGCAGCAACGTGAAACATAATACAAGTTGCACCAGCCAGTCCTAAGCTCAGCCATGCGAAGCAGCCAGCGGCTAAGGAACGCGACGTACGAATCAGATTACATCTTGCGTTGGCTGCTTATCTTTATTCTTCACTTTACCTCGCTTCAATTCACTTCATTTCGCTTCAGTGACAACCCTTCGATCGGCATCTTATAACCGGCTCGAGATATGCACTCGTCCTTGGAAAGCGCTCACAGAATTTAAAACGACGGTACCATCGCTTTCACCAAGATTTTTAAATTCGTTCGCTCGACTTAAAAATGCTTATTCGCTAAGAATGTTAGGCAATCGTTACACACGAGATATTCGAAGTTTTAAGTACTACGGTTTCGACATACTCGTACTTTGCATTCGCGGTGTGTAGTAGAACAGGGACAGAAGATATGGAAAATGCTTTTATTTTAGGAATAATTTAAAAAAATTATATTCCTTACCATACAAGCTTATATTTACTGTTTTATCCTGTTTTTGTGTTTAGGACTGTCGTACTAAACATTAAATATTCCTTAAAATTAATTAACATTTATTCATTGTCTGTACCGCTAGTTTGTAAATAGACAGGTGCTTGAGCGCCTTGCGCTACTTGTATTAGTTGAGGTTGAGCTTGGATAGGAGCAGTTTGAATTATGATTGGCTGATTGCTTCCACCTTGAACTTGCATACGGATCATTTGAAGCTGCTGAGGTGTTAATTGTATCTGAAATGAACGTTAAATTTAAATCAACAGGCAAACAAAACTCTTGCATTAATTGTCGTCGTAAATGTACTTACAGGTATTTGCTGAATTTCTCCACTGGGTGTTACAATTTGTTGTACAATTTGTATTCCTCCAGTTTGAGTGGTGGGTGTTTGTTGAGCCTGCTGTAGTTGTATAATTTGTTGTCCCGACGATTGCTGCTGACTCTGTACCGTTACCGCCTGTGTTGTACTTGGATTAGGACTTTCCTACAATTAAAATAGGAGATTTATAAATACGACATGCGGTTAGCGAGTTACTTTATGAAAGTAAACAATATACCTGCTCTACTGGACTCCCTATATTAATTGTCTGAATCTGTCCAGTAGAAGGTTGTACAATTTGTATAGGCTGTGAATTTGCATTACTACTTTGTACATTTTGATTTGCAGATGCTTGTTGCTGTGCTAATTGGAAGTAGTAATGTACTTGGTCAGAGTTCATGGATGTACGTACAGTACTTTCAGTCTGTGCTTTGCTTTGTTTTAATTCATCCCTAGGCACTATGTCGATAAGAAAATCAAATTGATCGTATTTAGTTATAGCCATTGCAATGTCGTTTCTCTGGAGGGTACGTCTTTTGTTATCTTCTGTATGAACCCATGCTCTCAGAGTTAATTCGTGTATAAAAATTTCTGCTGCTTTAGAGAACAGCATAGGAGCTTCGGCGCTTATCATTTTTACATCTCCATCCAGCTTCATTATTTTTTTTATCCTGGCTAATGGCAATGATTGTGTTCTCAGGTCCATCTATCAAGGTATTTTATGAACCTTAGTAGGTACAAACAATTTTTATTGTTTACTTGTATACTCACAGTAGTAATCTTTTTAATTTCTTCTGTGACTTTTGGCCAGAACTGAGCCAAAGCTTGTTGGGCTTCAGAACTGCCAGGTGAGGCAATTTGCAGGTCTCCATTGGAATCTCCCTCAACTTCACTGTCTTGGTTACTGAATAATTAGTAGCAATAATAATGAGTTATACATTCAATATAATAAAATAAAACTTTATCTGTTTAATTTGCTTTGTATTATCGTAATTTAACGTGTATCATATTCCTCTAATCCTTGGTAATTATGTAAATAAATAAGAAAAAAAGTATATAACCTAGCAGGTGAGAAATAAACACAGTTACTTACGCATTCACAAAGAATACTGACATTTTTTATGAGTCACGTTTGAAAGAACATAAAACGAACTTGTTTAAAGTCTGAAAATCATCCTGCCGCTTTCAATTCTCGCTATCTAATTCATAAATATTACAGTTGGTTCACTATCTGTGGAATTCACAACAAATTTGTTGTTTGCATCAACGAACGTGCTGCCATGGTCATAGACGTTGTATAAGAATGATCGAACATTTTATCATGTAAACTTGATCTTAGATTTAAGTTCAGTTTATTCGTCGCTAGGTGGCTGTACTATATCCTTCTCACTAGAGACTAATTTAGTTATGTATTTTTTTTATTCCAAATGTTGTAAATCATGCGATTGGCAGAATTAGGGTATCCCCTTAAATGTTTGTTGTATCCTCGACCATTTCGTAATGGATTATTTGGGTTGCGAGTTCTATGTAAGAAATAAAAGCTTTTTATTTTAGGTAGGAGCTACGAATAAGTGTAATCTGTTCTTTCGAATCATAATTATTTTATCAAATCGTAATAATCTTTCACTACACGTGCATGAAACTTAACAAAAATAGATTGTGTCTCAGCCCACAGGACTAGTTTCGCAATTGTCCGTTCGATCTCGTCCGTGTCCAGCTGCAAGCTTGTCATTTCATCAGGATAATCGTTCCTTCCCAGATCGACATCGCCCTCGACTTTCTCACAGGCCACGAGCCAATCCTCGACCTCTTTGTGAGACACAGGCTCCTTCACAATAGCTTTCATAATGTCTTTAATCGTCGTAATATCCGATGTGTCGCCAGGACACACTCTACTTTGTTCTTCGACCTGATCCTCTGTTACATCAACTCCCAATAATTTTTTCCAGGAATTGTAAATGACAGCTGGTGCTACATCAGTCCAGGCTTCGTTCAGGAAATTGATGCAATCCTTCACATCATAATCCGTGCAGAACTCCGCCACTCCTTCAGGAAATTTTAAGATTCGACTCAACATGCGTCGACGGAAGGACACCTTAACGTTGCTCGTTATCTCTCGTTCCATCGGTAACAAATTCGACGAAGTTGGAACATATACAACTTCGACGTTGTTATCCCCAGTTCTAACTTCCGGTAGCAGCTCGTGAGTTCTGGATTTGGCTACCAGTAGCAGCACCTTTCCATGATTACCAGTTTGCAACTGGTGATTCCTAACAGCTGGTTTGAAGTAGTTCTCCAACCAATCGGTGAAGACCTTCTGTTCCATACAAGCATTCATCTGGGCCTTGAAAACCACTGGCAAATGGTCCCAGCAGTGTTTCAAGGCCCTAGGTGTCTTACATTTGTGTATAAAGAGTGGGGGAAGTTTGTGTGTTCCAATAGCATTCGCGCATAAGCCCACAGTGACTCGATTGTTTCTTGCTTTTTTCCCATAAACGCTCTTTATCGTAGCGTTGATTAGAACTTTAGGAGGAAGATACTTCCATGCTAATCCCGAATCGTCCATGCTGTACAAGTTCTGCAGCTTGATGCCTTCCTGTGCCAAGCGGTGCATAAAACGTTTGGTGAATTCTTCAGCTATCCTCGTGTCGACTATGGCAGCATCATTGTTAGGATCGTCGAAGCTTATGCCATGGCGCTGTTTGAACCGCCATATCCAGCCATTGGAGGCTGAGAAATTTGAAGGGCCACCGAATTCCTCGTTAAGTTTCATCGCCTTTTCTTGAAGCAGAGCGTTAGTGACGGTTTCCTCGAGGGCCCGTCGTCCCTGGTACCACGTGAATAAACGAGCATCCAACTCGACCAGTACCGGCCTTCGAAACCTCTTTTTACCTTCAGTTCCAGGTGTCTGGGACTGACGTCGTATTTTTTCAGCATTCTTTTTGATTCGATGGATGGTCACGACGCTGATGCCGTAATTCTTGGCCAATTGGTTCTGCGGAACGCGGTCCTCCAATTGCCGCAAGATATCGAGGCGTTGCTCTAACGATAAATTCACGCATGTTTTGGTTCGTCCAGACAACATTGTGAAAGTAGAAGTTCAGGTTAAATCTTACGGTTTAGAACTTATATCTAGACTACAAGTCTTCTCCATGTCGAACACAGTTCACAGTCTCGTACACAACACTACTGACGATCCATACACACAGGAAGGTACCGAGCTCAGACGAAGAAGCGAGTAGATCTTTGCTAGACTTGCAGTTCATATTTGTTTTACTAGCTACAAGAAATCAGCAATATTCTAGCGCTACCCGGATATCTGATGCTATCCCCACCATTTGCTTTGTGTACTCTGCGCAAGTACAGTTTTACCCCTGATAAAGGTCGATTTCCACTTGTGATTAACATCAACTAGTGGTGGGATCGAGGACCTTGCAATAGATCGCATTTTTTTCTACTATATAAAGGATTTTCCAAAGAAGGCTTCAGAATGTTTTTGCAACTTTTTATTACTAGATAGCAACTCACTAATAAGTTATCGCTATCTAGCGTGCACGCGTATGTACTACTGTTAAAACATAAACTACATGAATGAACTTGCTAATAATTGTACAGCGCTAATAGTAATAATATGTTTTAGTTTTAGTATGAGTATATTTGTACATTTATGTTAAAAATGAATGTGTATTAAAAACATACAGTATTTACAATTGTACAACTCTTTTACTCATGCATGGCTTTGTAACTGCAGATGCTTTGAAAAACGGAATTTAATACTTCTTTAGCTGTATGAGTATCAGAGTTACTTATTCTTATAATACTTCCGAATTCCCTGATATAATGATCCAATTCCATGTTTTTCGATAAATCACTAGTTGCCATGTATTTATTTGTTAATTGCGACAGTTTTAATAAATCAGAACTGAAGGCTTCGTCCAAATCGAATAATTCCAGAGCTGGTGGGGGTAGCTCTTGGAAACTCGGTGGAAAGACCTTTGAACAAATTTTAAAAATTATATGTAGAAACATATGGCATATTCGCTAAAATCAATGTAATTAATAAAAATTTGTACCGATGCTTGTGTGGATGGTAATGGTGCCTCGAAATGCGGTGGAATTAAAGTAAGAGGTTCGTGCTTCACACCCAAAACTTCATATGCCTTTATGCAAGCTGGCACCATATTTAAATTTATAGAATACAAGTGATGTTTAAATAACTTGGTATATTCGTGAGGATTATCCATCATGTCCATGTCCTGAGTACACACCTTTGGATTGTCTGCTTGTTGTGTTATATCTGGCACAAAATTGTACTCCCAGAACTAAGTGAATTATGACATTATTAATAGCAATAAATTATAACAATTTAAATTGTAAGGGATCACTCTAATTTTAAAGCTTACATCTACATCATCCATTTGGGATTCTTTGGCAACAATTTCTTTGGATTCAAAAAAATCAAATATCATTTCCCTTAATAAATCATTCTTTTCCTTTTCAATATATGTATCAGTTAACATTCTGGATGAACCTAAAACAAGTAATTTACTACCACTTGCTTCGCTGTAGTGATAAGCACAAATGGGTCTGTTTGTTGGAACTGCAACAGATCCACTAGACAATGCAACGATAGATGGTTGTGCCACATTTAAAGTTGCACCATACGGGTATAAAAAAGCTAGGTCTCTGAAAGAGAACAAGATAAATGGAATAAATGAAGTAGTATTTCATATTTAGTGAACTTACATGTATTCATTATGACTCTTAGAAAATATTGATTTATTTGACATCCCCTGTGAAATTAAACACTCCTTTGGATGCATTGTTTGACTGTAACTCATGCGTATCACACTGTCTGTAAAAGTAACAATATTATTGTACAATTGTCATAAATTAAAATTTTGTAATGGAGATATTTATTAAATAAAATAAGTCAAATATTATACCATTGTTCACCATTATTCCAAATTCCTCCAGTAAGAAATTTACATTTGTATTAGACCTTTTTTCACCTCCTTCACCCAGCATAACTAACACGTGTCCACCAGAATTTAGAAACGTTCTAATGGAATTCATTTCTAGTTCTGTGAATTTATTTCGCGGTCCTGGAAGTACTAATACTTTGCCTGTGGATAACGATTCGTCTGTTAACGTATCGTTGTTTCTGAAATAGAACAAAAAGCTATGCGAAAACGCTGCGTTTCAAATCAAATAAAAATAGCGTAGAAGTGTTTCGACGTACTCGACAAATTTCCATTTCGATTTCAACTTTCTCTGCAGCACTTTAAACTCTTCATTGAGTTTTCTTTCACATTTTGAAGAGTCAAAAATAATTGTATTCGTGTTATTGTTGCTATCGCTCCCGCCAAAGATTAAGCTCATAGCGACTGTCGTGTTACTGTTAATTTAATAATATGGTAACTAAATAATAAGAGAAATTATTAGGTTTTCACGTTTAATCGTGTACTGAGAAAGCATGTTTCGAATTATACAGTCGTGTACAGTTTAGCGTTGCTAGTAGCAACAATTGCATATCAAACTTTCGGCCGTAATTGGTCGCAGTATTCATAAGGGGAGTTGTATCTTAAATTAGTGCATTAATCTGATTATAAGTTTGATTATATATAGTTAAAGGATTATACAGGATGTTTATTTACAGGTGGGCATCATGGGCATCCCTTTAGAATAAAAATGTACAACTAAAAATAATAAAATTGCATTCAATGTCCTTGAATTCTTGATTCAAGAATTCACTGTTTCTAAAGCGTCTTTCTTTCGTCTTTTATTTGAAAATAGGGCGATAAGATCATCAAAGATTCCAACAATAATTTTTTAGAAGTAAAACTACTTGGTGGTCGAGATATATGTAATTTTATCATTGCATAAAGTGCATCAAAGTAATCAGCTGTTTCAGTTGATGCATTTATGTTTAGGTCAAAAACGTGTCAAGCGACGTTATAACCATCTCGCGGTGGAAAGGTGGAACTAAAATTATCGACATTACAGGACAAAGTTGAAAAATATTAATATAATCTATTTTATTACGTTTAATACTAAACTTGTAATCATAAAACAAACATTGGAGCATTACAATTCATTAGTAGAAGTTAAAATAAGTAAATAATTACAAAGCCGGTAATTAGTCGACAGTGGCGCCATCGGCGGGAAAGCCCCCAAGCTTGTCCTCGAATAGTTTCAGACTTCAACCACTAGATGGCGCCATATGTTTTTATTTAAAAAAAAAATGAAGGATTTAAGGATTAAAAAATGGTTCTCATTCAAATTTTAGTATCATGTTGCTGGTTCTTTTGTTTGTTATTGCATATAATAATTAAAAAAAAATGTGTAAACACTAATAGCGACATCTAGAGGTTGAAATGTGGAACTATTTGAGGACAAGCTTGGGGGTTTTCCCGCCGATGGCGCCACAGTCAACTAATTACCAGCATTTAAATTATTTGATTATTTTAACTTGTACTAATGAATTTTAATGTCTCAGTGGTTGTTTTATAATTAAAAGTTTATCATTAAACGTAATAAAATAGATTATATGAATATTTTTCAATTTTGTCCTGTAATGTCGATAATTTTAGTTCCACCTTTCCACCGCGAGATGGTTATAGCGTCGCCTGTCACATTTTTGACCAAATAAAAAAAAACTCAAAATATCATTGTTATTCTTGGATAATTCATTTGTTCAGAGTATTATTAGCGTACTTAGAGCCCAAGTTAATAAAAAAATACGGATACCAAAGGTTCCAATAAAAATTTCGTATACTTAACCTGGGTGACGTACAGAATGTCAAACGCCACCAGTAGTGTTCAAAATGGTCGGTGGATCATATGAGATAAGGAGTTTTATAAGTATTTAATAATTAATACAGATAAAATGACTGCGATCGTGCAAGAGGACAACGAGTTAAAGAGGTTACTCGGTAACCCAGCGAAAAATGCCGTCGAGGATAATTCGATGGCTCCGCCGCAATCAGTAAATTAAGAAATATGTTTGCTCGGTGCATACGTGTTCGAGGATTTTTATATTTTACATTGTTATTTCTATTTCAGACGAATGTCCCACGGCCGAGCACGTCACAAAATGTCATTCCACAATCGACGATTAATCCTATGACTCCAGCTAATAGTACAAAAGAGGTTATAGAACCTTGTTTACAGTAAGTGAAGAAATGGTTGTTGTTAACCTTTTGACGCGATCCCAGTGAACACATTTCTCCTTTTAGGAATGTAGTATCTACTGTCAATTTAGGTATGGAATTAGCACTTATGTATATTAATACTAGAACAAGGAACTCTGAATACAATCCAGCAAGATTTACCGGGTTAATTATGAGAATTCGAAACCCTAGAGCTACCGCATTGATCTTTCATTCTGGAAAGGTAGTATGCACTGGGGCAAGGTGTGAAGAAGATTCTTATTTAGCCACAAGGAAATTTGCTCGAATTATTCAGAAATTAGGATTTCCAGTAAGAAACGTGTATTTGGATTTTATCAGTTTTGCTTACACTCTACTAAATTCTGTGTTATTGCAGGTTAAATTTTATAATTTTAAAATACAAAATATAGTCGCCACGTGTGATTTAAAGTTTCCAATTAAACTGGAAAACTTAAATCATATACATGGACAATTTTCTAGTTACGAACCTGAGCTTTATCCTGGCCTTATATATAGAATGGTATCACCAAGAGTAGTTCTACTCATATTTGTAAATGGAAAAATTGTATTGACAGGTGAAATTTCATTAGAAGTATTTTCTATATTTTATTATAATTTGTATTAGTGTTAGCGTAATGATGTTTCAGGGGCCAAGAATCGGACTGAACTGCAAGATGCACTGACCAATATATACCCTATATTGAAGAGTTTTAGGAAGCAGTAGCAGTATTTTTTGTATTTAATGAATTTTGTAAGAAGAAACTCAGTTGTAAAAATAAATTAATTTGAATATGTATATATGTGTAGTACGACAAGTTTGAAATAAACAATTTTATATACAAGGAAATAATTATGGGCTATTGTTTCAAAAAATATATATTTTTTTGAATCCTGTAAATAATAAAACTAGTAGTCCCCGTTATATTGCTGTACGAGAGTAAAAATACAATTCAAATGCGTTACATATTACGGAAGCATATTTTTACAGTTAAAATATTTAACATCGTCTCAATATTAATATATATCATTCCATAAAACAGTGATAAATTTTCTATAATTGGAATTCGTATAATTTCAAGAATTAACTTCCGGTAACAGACATATATTGGTTTTAAAAACATAATACATGCATACGTCACAAGATATCGTTCGATGGATATACATATACATCGGCTCAATGTTATCCCTCTGTACCAGCGGTAATCGTATGATATCAAAATACTCGAATAATCTTAATTAGCACCAGATTTTTGGAATATGTAAAATTTCTTCAATCCATTAGATTTTTACCAGATCGCACGTGTGGTGGATTGGGGGTATCGATCGATATAACTTGAAATATTTTAATGTAATATTCTTGGTTCGTATTTCAAAAAATTCCGTCTTCTAAGATATGCCAAAAGTTTTAGTAGACGACGTTTATACCTTTCTTCGCGGCGATTGGCAACTTTTCACCGCGGAAGAAGGGGTTGTCCTCCTGAAACAGACACCGAATTAATAAAATGAAAGTTTTCGTTAAAGTAAACTAATCATCCGTGTCACATCCTACCGCTTGGAATTGATCAATGATTCGATTGAAGTTGGTGCTCGGTATATGCATGCTTGCCAGACTGTTGCTGTTAGAGGAATCAACGGAACAATCAAACATGTGCTCTTTGTCGCACATGCAATCTTGCGCGTTCTGATAGTCGCGACTGAACGTTGCCGTGTTCTCGAAATTCTCGATACAGTTGTTTTCACCTGCAAAGATTACGTTCGATTCAATTACAACTTTTTCTGTCTATACATTCACGTCTTGTTTTCTAAATAACAAAACCGTTCAGCCACTTACTCGTGTAACCAACCGGACAAGGATTCGGGGGCGTGCAGTATGCAGGCAATGCGTTCTCAGCTTTCTCGTCCTTGATGAATTTGACGGTTCCAGGCTTGATTTTTTGCCTTTCGTTCGACTCGTTATTGTTAAAACGCTGGTGACTCCACAGCGTGCTGTGTTGCAGATACTCCTGATCGCGGATGCTGGGATTAGGGTTCAAGGTGTCCATGCCGTCGTAATCAGCGGGTAACTCGATAGGAATTTCTTTAGGTTTGTCCTGGTACTCCAGGTACGAGTCAGCGGCGTCCGCAAGGTCGTTTCCCATTTGGTTCAACAAATCGCGAAGAGTGTCGGTTAGAAGCTGCTCGTCCTGTAATATTAAAAAAAGTAACGATAAAAAGTTGTTGCAAGAACACAATGTATGGGAGGTCCACTATGGTGGACCTTAGAATTTCAGTGTCACCTCTATTAGGGGAGGCAAATACACGGCGTGGGCAGCAACTGCCAGCGCCAGAAACGGGATCCAGTTCCAGTACATGATTTCGAGCGAGTGTATCTGGAAACAGCAAATGTTCAAATGATAATTACGTGCACTTTAAAACGAGTCAATTTAACCAAGGAGAAGGGTTGTTCCAAGTTGTACTTCGAGGGTTTCAACCCTCCCACGCATATCCAAAATGGCTCGACTACTACTATCTTGCTATAGGATAGCTACGCAACTATAGATCCGAGGCAACTGATAATTAATAAATAGCGTCGAAGCAGAACTTACCAAGAACTACTGAAAAGTTCACCGAAAGGAATTGAGGAGAGATCGCGAAGGTGAACGTCGGTGCGTACGATCCTCGAGTTCCGCCACGCGTCTTCGGCGATAGGAAGAGGCGCTGCGCTCGTTCAGTAATCGCTCAGTATTGATCCGCGTTTTCCGCGCCGCTTTTCCCCCGTATGAACGTCCAACCGTTGCCTACGGACTCCCCCGCAACCCACATTCGTAAAACCGAGTTACGAGCAAAGGTCGTTCCGCGGCCGAGGCTCGTGACGTCGTTTCGCCGATTAAGGATGAGTATCGGTCCTCGCGAGATAGGCTTCGTAATTCCTGGTTCGATTTTTACTTGGCAAGAACATCCGCTCCCATTCGAGTACTCCGAGTTTTCCAATTGTACATTCAGTCGTCTTTTGGAAGACTTATGTAGGCAGAAGTAGATCTTCCAGGAATATAGAGTATGCGATTCGGTCCCGGGGAAGATGGTTTGTTCGAAGGAAGGTTTTCCAGAACAGGGAAATTGTGTGGCAGAAAGATTGAATTTGGAGAAGAAAAGAAAATATGGAAACATGGCACAAATATTGGTGGCGTAGGATTTTCAGATTTCTCTGAGTTTTTCTTCCCCTGCGAATGTCAAAATATGAGGTTTCCATTTTTATTGCAAAAATTATGCAAGCGTCCTTTACTACCCTTTGTCAGTCTCATCGCCGGGAATGTGGCAGTTGCCGCGGTTTTTCGCTGGTTGTCCGTCAAAGGGAAGGGTGCGTTTGGCGAGGGTGCCTTATCGTAGCCAGTGTTTGGCAGAAGCCACGCCATCGAGCATCATCGACGAAAGGGGCGCGAAATGGAACTGGCGACATTCACGAGGGCCGAGAGAGATCAAAAGACCCCCGGCTCTCATTACGGTCGTATATAAACGCCCATTAATAATTGTACCGCGCTGTATACTTCTAACTCGATTTCCAAAATCGAGTTTCCCCTGCGTTCTCGTTCATCGACCGAAAATTCCTCTCTTTATTCGATCACGTACAATTCTGTCAAAAATAGATAGTTTCCATTACGCCATGTCTCCACTTCAGTTGTTTAATTTTCCACTTTTTATATCATATAAAACATAGTTACGTTACGTGACACGTGTAAAGGGATGGAAGTAGCACGAGAAAAATAGTATGAAACCGAGGATACTTTTCCTGAGAGAGAATTATCTCGTTTCAGCAACTGATCCGCTTAACTTGGCGCGCTGGACAAATAATCGCCTTTTATCGGAGCCAGGTTTTAGTGGACTATATATGATCGAAGAATAATAGGATGAGATAATTGATAAAAATAATAATAATAATGAGAATCATCCATTGTTCATCAAGTTCATGTCTCGAAGCTTCTGGGTTGTTATCATTGATATAAAAAAGAGAAGGTAGACTGTCGCCTACGAACTTCTCGTATCATAGTCGATTCTTTCGAATATGAAAGGTCATTGCGCAATCAATAAATTCGCGACATTCGCATCCCACCAGGCTGATCAAGCCTCCGCATCCCGAGCCTGCATTTTCCATTTTCCATTCTGTCCTGTGCAAAATTCATTACCGTCCTCAGCCCTCCGAAACGAATAACTCTCGCTTGATTTATTCGTCGAACCGTTCCCGCCCACGATCACAATGTTCCCTCGCGCTGGTGATTTTCCCTACCAGTTGCAATTAGCAGGCTCTGGCTTCCTCGAAACGGATCGAAAACGTACGCGTTCGTACTATACTTATCTTTTGTCAAATTTCATTTCAAAGGAGTCGCGATAAGCCCTCGGGACATTTTGCACCGCGATGGCCTGGCATTTTCGAAACTCCAGCGGTTGTGGGGTTGTTACGCTGTGTCTCGCCGTCACAAGTATTGATCTCGTTGGAGTCGCTGTGTGAATGGGCTACAGCTATCTCACCCTGGATCCTGGGAACGTTGATCTCCTCTCGCACTCTCCGGGCACTTCTTCCGTCGCCTCCTTTCCTTGGTTCCCTCGTCGTGATTCTCTTTTTGGCTCTACACATCGCGTATTTCCATTCCATCTCCATCCATTGTTTCTTGCGTCGGTTTCGTCCTTCTGCTTTTGGCTATGGATCTCTCTTGCCCTTCTTTCGTATTTTTGCGACCTATTTTTATATTTTCTCCACTGTTTTTTTTTGTTGTGGTCCAGTTAATCGTCAATTTCGTGTGCTAAAAAAGTGGGGCTTGAAATAAAAAATTCAAGTCGTACCGTATTCGTTCATCGGTAATTACACCTGTCGTTCGCCACGAGGTCGCGTCGAGTGCTTTCAAGTTTTTCTCGCTCGTTCGCGTGGCTCTTTTTTACGAACGCCCTCCTCTCTTCCTTATCGTCGTCGCTCTCCCCTTTTTCAAAGGACCCTCGCCCACGCGAGACACCGCACTTAAGCTAAAGCACATTAGCATATTTGCTGGACCCTCAATTTTGCTATGCGACACCCGTCCCATGTTAACAACGTTACCCCGCGTAGCCTAAATTAGTTTATCGCAAACACTCTCCGAAAAATTCATTTTCAGAAACAATCCACATTCCATACAAATTGCAGATAGAATTCTGAACAGTCTCCTGCCTTTTAATACTCTGCGAAAGCGAGTGGTTCATTTTTGTCACAACAAACGTAATAAAAGGAATCGTCGTGAAGCCTTCTTAAAAAGCGTTGCCTCGTAGAATTACAGTTAATTAATGTAAAATGCTTGGCGGAGTTTCCAGGGGACACTTGAAACATGCTTAAGGGAAACGTGGATCTTGCGTGCGCCTTAATTGCGTCATAATTTGAATTAAGTGGAAGACGTCGCTTTGTGTACGCTATAAACGCTCTTCTAAAGAGTTTACGAAGTCGTATAGTTTAGAATCAACTTATCACGAGAATGTACGCAATCATTTACAGATAAGGTTTTTTAATACAGAATATTAATTGACGTAAGGTATTATTTCGCGCGGATCGGGCTTCTGGAACCGACGTAATTCAAATTTCAGTTGGGTAAAAGGGATTGACAACGTCGTTAGCGTTACGACTTTGGGGGGATTAATTATGCAACGCTATGGGGTGAAATGTATTAAATAGGGGGATAATAATCATTACGAGATTCAGATACATTTATCAATTTAACAGCGGAAACAGTGTTTATAATAAATTTTATTTGAATACAATCAATTCCAATATTCGAACAACTTCAAGATCTAGAAAAGTAATTTCAGTTTTCACATTAGGGATGGACATTGTTCGTCGAAGGTAACCGTAGATCGAGGTCCACGTGTAACACGAAAAGTTAAGAAATATTTTCTACGTATTAGGTGTCTTGTGACATGACCGATGAACTCCTGCATGGACGATATAAAGCTGACGATGCACTCGTGGTAACTTGAAAGGATACATTAATTTAATTATTATTTAACCTTTGAACGAAACGTCGATCGTAGGAAACTATCTCCGACCACTAACTTCACGTTTTACCATCGAAGAGTGAAATTGGAATCTAGATACAAAATTCAACTAAAATATAAAATCGAAGTTAATTTTGTTTTCTTCGCCTTCGATTGCTGTTCCTCTTCCTCGGTTGCAGGACACACCTTGCGCGAGCAACAATGGGGGCTTCGATTTCGACGAATGTGACGTGTTCGTGGACACAATCAAGCCATTTCTTGGACCCAGATTGGAGAACAGAATCCAATCGGGGCTGGATGCGTTCGTCTCCAACCCAAATCGTTTTCCATGTGTGAACAAATGCCTGGACGAGGTCGCCGCGTGGTTTGACTACTTAGACTCGTTCTGCGAGTCTGCCAAGAATACAAACGTACGAGAAGAAATGATCAAGAAGGCGATCGATTATCTGGTCAAAAACGGCCTGGTGACACACTTAGCGGGTCCTGGCGTTCTTAATAACGGGGTGAATGGAACAGCGTGCCAGGAGCTCGATTCTCTCGAGCAGGATGTCTCGAAGAGCGCGAAGGTCTTGGAGTTCATCAACGAGAAGGACTACTGGTCGTGTCAAAATTGCACGTGAGTATATCTTTCTTTCATTAAAGCTTACGACTTTTCGAAACTTTAACAGAACTCGGTCTTTTTACAGAAACACCACTGCGGTCTACACGAGCTTGAAACCAGCTCCAAGAGTCAATACACGGATTTGTAAACGTACGATAGAAAACTACAGCAGCGATCTGGAAGTAGAAGTAGGTTCTATCGCGAAGGGATCTCGAGGACGTAGTAACATACGCAGAAGGCATCGTAATCGCCACGTCTGTGGTCAGAGAACACAGAGATCTATAAACACAGGACCATCGAAAACACCAGCCTATCAATTAATCCCCGAATGCACTCTTGGTTCAAGTCACATCTTCCCAGCTCCCCCAAGTCGAAATGCAGTCAGATTCGACGAGATGGGAGCCCAGCCAGGATCAGTGTCCTCAGAAAAGAAGCATACCACGATGTCGTGCGGCTGCAGTCAGACTATTCCACGGAGAACCTCGAAATTAAAAGTCATCGTTCATAAAACAACGAATACCAGTTCTTCGATGATCCCGAATTCTTCTAAACTAACTAGTCTGTCCATACCCTGCAAGCCTAGCCACCTAATTGTCCGCCTATTCGAGGCAGACCCGTCGTTATCGGACTCTTGCTTGATCTTGATGAAGAGAAAGTTCGAGAACAGCATTCGTAACGCGTGTTCCTGCCTAAACGACATCCTGAAGAGGCTAGACGACGCTGCGATCAAAGAGCTGCGTCTAGGCTGCGAGATACGAAGTGGTCGCATCGATTTGAACCTTCGACGCCCAAGAACGTCCAAGAATCGATTATTCCTGGCTCGTCTTCCGACCTGTCGCACCTTTCACAAACGTGACGCGCATCGCAGGGCTGTTGACGAGTGCTCGCAGGTCCAGATTAGCGAGTTTCTTCTCTCGAAAGACTCTGAGGTCTCCGTTTACTGCAAGGATGCAGCGAGGATCGTCGAGAAAGATGGCGAGGGAGAGAAGCAACGCGTCACTTTCTACTCACCGTGTTCGAATAACAGCTTGACGGAAGAGTCAGAAAGGAAAGAGAGGAGAGAGAAAGATTCTTATGTGAGGATGATGAGTCAGAAAGAAATCGACTTCCTGTGGTCTAGGAAAGTGG